CTTTCGCATTGCTGCAGAGAAATTCGTACATACCTTTATCGCCTTAATCAGACTCGGCGTTGGGCTCCGCTTGTGACCTGCAATGAAAAAATGCAGAGCACAAAAAGGGGTTTCATATTAGAAATGTTTATAACTTTTCCTTATTCACAGCTTCATGAGAGACAAAAGCGGCAAGCGAACAAAAAAATTGTCGTTAAGCTCTATATATACACATATATAATATATATGTATATATATAAATATTTTGTTTTTGTATTTTTGGAATTGTAAAGTGAACAATATGCAAATATGTGCTCGGGATGCTTGCGGAATTTAAATTTTTAGGTAAGCCCCAAAATATGCCCCGGCTGACCCTTTGTATGACGTATTTCGGGCTGAGGACACGGCACCAAAAAACACACAAAAAAAAAAAAGAAGAAGAAGAAGAAGGACGACAATAAAATTAAATATTCTATTAAATGGCATTCGCTGTATGCCAACTACGGACAGTTGAAGGAGTCGTGTATAGACGGCTCGTGCAAGTATTCTGCGCTTTGAAATTGAAGGCTTAAAAGTAGCTTTTGTTTCACACTAAGTCTATCTATTGGCTTCATGGAACTCTTCGTGGAACTCTTCTTTTGGCAGGTATTAAATTTAACACGTATACACGCATAGAAAGAGAGAGAGAGAGATAGAGTAAGGTGGGGACTTAGAGATAGAGCGTGAGTCGAGCAAATTGCATTCGCATTATATCAATTTTATTGCCCTGCCCGGCTATAATTCTCATGTCCTCGCCGAGAGCATGCAAATAAAATGTATAAAAAACGAGATTTTATTGACGGTCTCGAGTTTGGTCCGGCAGCGTTTGCCCTTTTTATTCTAATTTCGTGGCCCGGCTTGTTGTTTAGGCTTATCTGCGCTCTCTCTCTCTCTCTCTCTCTCTCTCTGTACATGCCCATCGAGCGCAAGGGAAACGCAATTTCGTCTTCCTTTGTTTCATATAAATTAAGCAGATTATATCGAGTCAGATAGGACTCAGTGTATGTGTGTATGTGTGAGTGTGTATAGAAACTGGCAAACCAGATTGCAAAATCAAGAAAGTAACTTTAAAAGGCACTCAGTAGAGCACACGGGTCGTTCAAAAGACGCCTCAATCGATGACACAAATAATACCTCAATTAAGTCTCCCAAAAAAAAAAAAAAAAAAAAAAAAAAAAAAAAAAAAAAAAAAAAAAAAAAAA